GCAGAGACGTCGGCGTTGCTCAGGCGCTGTTCAGGCCACAGCTAGGACACACAGCGTGGCCTGGGCTCCTTGTTTACACCGTTTGGCCTGAGGATATTTCTAAACTTTGTCTGAAAGGCAGGGCTGATGCTATACTCCAACTAACTAAAATCTGAATGACAAAATGCTAATGATAATTCCTCGCACGTATATAGCACTTTTCTGGACACTCCACTCAAAGCGCTTTACAGGTAATGGGGATCCCCTCCACCACCACCGATGTGCAGCCCCACCTGGATGATGCGACAGCAGTCGGAGTGCGCCAGAACACTCACCATAAAGCATCAGCTATCAGTGATCAGGACCTCGGTTTTACATCTCATCTGAAGGATGGCACCTATTTACACCTATTTACAGTATAGTGTCCCCGTCACTATACTGGGGCATTAGGACCCACACAGACCGCAGGGTGAGCCCCCCTGCTGGTGCCACTAACACCTCTTCCAGCAGCAACTTTAGCTTTCCCAGGTACTCCCATCCAGGTACTGGCCAGGCTCACACTGCTGAGCTTCAGCTGGTTGCCAATTGTCAGTTACAGGGCGATATGGCTGCTGGCATGTAGTAGAATTTAGAATTTACTTCACTAGCGAAAAGAAGGAGCAATTAAAAAAAGAAACAGCTTTGCATTCCTAGTGTTCAGCTAGGCAGCTCTGTCACACCCAGGTACACATCAAGCTCTGGGAACACTGGGGGAAAACCCATCTGCTCAAGCTGGCTCACAGCTGCTAATAATTCCCCAGACTAATTTCCCCAGGAAAACTCTCCTGTTATGCTTATTGTTCTAAACATACTATCATCATCTAGTAACCTCTTATCAAAGATATCAAACAGTCAGTATCAGCGCTGTACAGCACTGCTTGTTAGGCTTCCAAGCATGGAAGCCTGTAGTGAATATAAGGCTTTTTTGCTTTGCTACTTTTCTTTTCAAACACTGTGGCTGAAGAGCAACTTGGAGCAACTTGGCAGGTATCCTGGGACAGACAGCTCATTAAATGCGTGACAAACTGAAATCCGCCCTACATCATACCAGTGGCCTGACCCACATATTTGAAAACCTCTTCAGAAACTCTCTTCTTGGGGACTCTGGCAGTAACTGAATTATTACTGGGCATACTTCACCAAAGTTCCTTGCGAAATAAAAATGATCACAATCATTTGTCGGGACCATATCCTCAACAGGCTGCTTTTCCAAAAGTGGCCACGGACCACAAAGGTTTGAGCTGAAGCAGTTAACTCCAAATTGTAGGACATGTGATTCTACTGCCAAATGATGACAAGTTTTCAGAATGGAATCTCTGCAGTGCTCAGGATAGTCACCTTAATGCTATATCATCTCATACCACAAACTCGTCCTGTTTAAAAAACGTTTGGCTTGTTAACTCTAAACATGGTGGGTATCATCCCAGTGAGCAGTGACAACTAAGAGGGCCACATGATTGCCTTGTCTTCTCAAAATTCAAAGTGCCTCTATTATGGATGAGTTTAACTGATGAGATGGCAGTGTAAACTTCAAACTGCCATGTTTCAAAAACAAACGGAGGGAAGCAGTTAATGTATTACATGCATGTTTCACTCAGGTGTTCATCAAGGAAGAAATGAACATGCCTCAGTCAGAGTAAACAGAACAGAAGGGGCCAGATAGGGATGCAGGAGTATGGAACAAGCCACCCATCATGATGTTGAAGACAATACCAACCTTACAATTAGGAAACAGACATGATATCTCCAGATCACTCAGCTACAGAAGAGCCAACAGGCTAAATGCGCCAAATGACCTTCAGTTTAAGTTTGCAAAATGAAATTCTTATGTATACAATGGTGCTCTTGTACTAATCAATACTGCCTGCTGACTACCGTTCCCTCATAGTACTGTATTCTGCACATTAAATAACTCAAGGTCAAACACTGGGGACCTGCAAAACTGGCAGGGATTATTCCAAGCAGAGGTGTCACGTCAGTCAGAAGCCGAAATAATAAAGAAACCTAAAAGCCACCATCCTTCACTACAGTATTTTGTAACAGGGACTCCTGTAGGTGCATCTGAGTTTTATACTAGTGTTTACACAAATAATTAAAAATGCTATTTGTTACCCACACCTAATCCATAATGAAGTACTGCCGTATTGCTTCGCTGTAGTATTTCAGGACAATAAAATTTGCTTGGTGTTTCTTACATCTTTTGTTCTTCTTCTATTATTCAAACTGGCAAATCACCAAAAACATCCACGCATGATTCAACGAGGTTCAGCATAAGCTGTTATTATAAATTTAGATATGAAAAAGCAGCAGTCTTGAAATATCACCCATTTATAAAGCTTCTTTTCAAATCCTGCAAAATCAACTAAGCATGTTTCTAAAATCTTAAAAAGCATTTCAATACTGAGGCCAAAGCCAAACTTAATTGAAGTATAAATGAAATCAGATGTCAGTAATTGCTCATTTCTATACTATACATTATTCTTTACAGCTCATGTTACAAATAACATTATTTCCACATAAATGTAAAGGCCAAATTGTTTTACTACAGTATTTTATCAAAAGCAACCTTTTCTGAAACACCTTGGTTTTCATATTATTACCGTGCGTAAGATTGCATTATTTTACTGCTACTAAAATGTACTCCTTAATAACCTCACAGCCATATCGTAAAGTATTTCAAGGCACAGGATCCTGCTTAGAAGTGATCAGAACTATTTAAATTCTCTGCCCCCATATAGACACAGAAAAGTAATATTTCCTACAGTGTTTAATATCACAATGACAGTTGTAACACTCCAGGAAAACAGAGACACGGCAAATCTAATCAAATTCTGTTCTCTCGGCATACAGTTACACAAATTGAGTACAATTGTTTAGCGTTGCTTTAACAGCAACGACACATATCAAGTGCCTATACAACACTCTTGAGTGGCTCAGCTAGTAAACTGACAAACTGTAACTGCATTTAAATTGCAGTTTTCATCCAGAAGCAGCGCCACTTCATCGGGCTCTGAAGTGCAAAACCACTTATGAGGGCATGTCCTCCAGCAGCTTCCCCAGTTGCCATAAAGGGGCATTAGTTTTGCAAATTATTGTCCTAGGGAAAGTGCGCCACCTACTGGTCAAACAAATTTCACCTACTGATTTTCCCCAGAAGGCCTGACCAAGCCCACCCTTCCTTAGCTCCTGGTGGGATCAGGGTAATGTGGCTATGCTGCTGTTTAGAGACATTCACATGGAGGGCAAGTTGAGTCCTAAATTTAGACAAGATTGAATTAAGCCAGCTGTGATCATTATTAAAAATATTTGAAATCACACGCTCTCAACGTTTTTGTCCTACAAAGCTACAAAAAAGTGCCTCGATACATTTTAAAAGCATAAGAAAGTGAGACTGGGAAAATACTGTATGGGAAAACAACCGACACTTGAAATGCTGGAAAAATACAAAACACCCACAGGTTTCAGTACACTGTCATATCCAACCCGTCAGATGGCATTCCTGAAAGATTCTCCATCTCCTGTCTCGAGATGTAACACCTTTCATCACCTCATCTCCACTGACGCTGCAGCCAGAAACCTTGATGGTCTCAGCAGAACATTTATAACAAGAACAAATGAACAGTTCTAATGGCTTTCAAACTTGTCGCAGGACTAGGATTTGCTTTTTCCCCTGAAGCCTTCCAGACTCGTTAATTGTTCCAAATCAGCCTGCTCACCAAGAATCCCCTCTGGATACCACACTGGCAGTATCAAGTCAAAGATGAGGAAAAAGTATCTTCTAGAGAAACAGTGTGGCTATAAAACACATTTATGACTGACCTCAGATCACTGGAAATGTAGAACTAGCATTGCAAGCTATTTTTATGACAAGCTTGTCAAGCTTGTAGATGCAAGCAACAGATAGGTGACAGCACAGTCACAATAGAAATAAACCAATAATTGACATATTAGCATTTTATCTACCCAGCCAAAACCCCAACACAAATTGCAATATCCATTAGTATCTTGTCTGCGTTACGAATCAGGGAGAAGCAAGCTGTAGCTCACTGGAAAAAAACTAACAAAATGTCTATAACTTATAACTCATCACTTATAACGCAAGCCAATGATAAAACAAGAGCAACTCTATTTAAAACACAAAAAGGGGAATGTGAACAGGCTGCTGGTTTTTCCTTCACACGGGAACTACGTTCCTAATGCCAGGATCATGTAATTTTGTTTCTCTGCACCTTTCAGCACTTATTTCTGGACACAGGTTGTGCTGCCAGTACCAAAAAAAGCCCTTTAATGGTTTCTCCGTGAATCATGTATTTATATAGCAATCCAAACGGAAAGCCGCAGCACAGGAGATGGCCGCTGCCATATAGCCCACAGAGGCCTGGAAACTGCCACCGCAGCAAAGAAAGACACCAGCACAACCACAGCACACCTCCGCACAGAAACCTGATTTGTTAGAGTTTGAGATGACACTGACCAGCTCTGACCGGTTCAGACTCGGAACGGGCAGAGGTGAGGATTTACACGCTGGGACGGGGGCTTGAGAAGGCTGCTGAACAGATCCGCCTTGTTTTAAAGGGCAATGGGACAGACCCGCAGAGGACAGTACTGTGACTGTCTCGCTCCCTTCTATGACAGGAGCCCAGCCTATTGCTGGCCCAGGTCCGGCTAATGTGGTTTTCACACAGTCTGAGGGAACACACAACATAAATCTGCCGGTAAAAGTTGAAATGTACGGACCTCTGTTTTTCTGTCTTTAATGGGAGCTATTTTCTCTACTCTTTTTAAAATCCTCCCCACTCTCCATCCTCTTTGTATGCCATAAATCTGAGAGAGCAGAGATATTCGGCTCATAAAGACTATTCTGGGTCTCAAGGCTGACAATTTGCTTTGTTGGCGATTGGAATTCCACACCAACAGTGCTCGTGTCTCTGAGCTTTGCCAACGATGTCACAAACACTGAAAGAGATTATACTCTCCCTTACCCAGATAGGGGATGCAGGGTGTCATGCTTAGGCTGCTGATGTATTCTCTCAGGCGCTTATAATTGTCTTCCTTGGACATCAGGTATTCCAGCTTCTCGAAGGTGGTCTTATCTTTCCGACTCAACAGCTGGAAAAGTGACAATGCAAAAACAGCAATTCAAATTCCATCAAACAGCCAGCGCACATAAAGGTATTACGTGCAGTAGTCGTTAAATGAACACATAACCCTTTTTCCTTTAATGGCTAAATACTTTTCCCTCCCAGTCCTTGGGCAGACATGAGCTGCATTCATTTGTCTTCCAAAATATATTTATTGTCGAGCCACTTTCTTTTCTTTGTGCACACTTACTATCCCAAATCGAACTGATTTCATGAAAATCCCACTACACACACTGGACAACCAGCTACAGAATGGAGGACTGATGCAGTTCTAAATGGTTCCAGCAGAATTTCGCAGACCTCTAAGAACGCAAACCCCTTGCTGCTGTAGATGAATCTTGTCAATTGTCTTTTCCCCACTCTTTTTCACTGTTACCAAATATATTTCTGTTTAAACATGTAATGAATAACAATAAAAAAAAGTCACATTAGAAAATGGCAGAAAAAAATTAACCTTCCGAGTCTGCTTGCCGTCAACCTTTTCAACAGCAAAATCCCTTCCTGGGTTTTTATAATGGCAAACATCTTGTGAAGAAAATAAGAAATACTATATATTTGACAGAAAGCTATTCCTTATTTAAACCCATAGTTTTCATTAATTTTCCTTGCTCGATGTTGAGAACCAGCAAAAATAGACACTGCACACTGCACACTTCACATTTGAATAAGCATGAATCTTCTTCAAATATTAGTTCCTGTGATAACCCAGGTCATACCCAAGAGAGTTTAGCCCACAGATTGCTGAGAACACCCCCCCACAACCAACGGACTAGGCTTTGTGGTCCAATGGCTAAAGTAAGAGAGCTGGCTACCAATAGGTTTCCACTTCTGACTCAAGGTACATTTTCAGCCTATTACTAACCTCCTTGTGCTCTAGGTTTCATGAGATTTAAAACTCAATGTCTAGTGGATTAGTTTTAGGGTCTCTGTGTACTGTTGTGTGAAATCAAAGATCTTTATTATGTCCTACCTACACAATGCTTTTGGACAGAAGATACCAGAAATCTGGCACTTTTATCTGTGCATATATGAATATAGTGTGAGATCATAAAATCCTTACTAATTCTACTTCAAACTTATAAACACAAATACACTGTTTTCTTACCCAGGTGGTAGAACTGAGGGTTTTTGTACACCGTCAGGTGATCTCAGGGCAGCGAGTGTGCATGTGAGGTAGCGTATTCACCACCGTC